ATCAAATTAGCAAATACTGCAAAAACATTTGATTGCTTGGACGCACCGCGGATACTTCTCGAAGGGCGCATAGGCGGCCAAATTCTCGTCGGAGGGCACACGTCGACCCACACAGCCGCCCAGAAAACTGCTCGTCTGTGTCTGGCCGCGGCGCGACAGACAGCCAAAGAAACGCTCCCGACGCGGACGCTGCTCAATGCTATTCAGCTGACGATCTGTAAGGCAGTACTATATAGAGAAAAAAGAAAGAGGTTAGTTGTGCATAACTAACCGTAAGTGGCAGTCACTCACCTGTTCTCTTATGTCCCCGCGCGAATAGACGGAGGTGCGAGGCTGCAATTCGGTGGATTGTGTTTGACGCAAACGTCGACGACCCGTGTGTTCATCCTCAGAGTCGTAGCTGCGATCCATGTGGCTGGAATAGGTGGCCTGATAGGGATTAGAGATTGGAGCTAGAAACTAAACCTCAAGACTTTTTAATTGGCAAATGAAATATCTTTAAAAAATTACGCATACGCCACATGTAACGCGAACATTATATAATAATAATTATTATTTATTTAACTCAACAGAATTAGAGTTCACGCAATATGCGTCCTTTTTAATTGTTATTAAATTTGTTAAAGTAATTTTAAGATATTTCCTGTACACCATAGTGCGTATACGTAATAAATCTATTTCGCACTTTAAACTGCTTAAACATTGTTTTTTCTTATTTTTGCAAAGACACTTTACGCATTAAAAAATGATGGAAAACATGAGTTAAATTTATCTGGTTACAATTAAAGAATATAATTCAGAATATATATTCAGTTATAAACGAGTATTTAGGTTTGAAAACAAGTCAGGTCTATGAATGTGGTAGTAACATTGTCATAATTGTTTAAATATTCCTTATAAAACCAAATAAGTTGTTGCTAACACTTATTTTCCCAAGTTACGCCTTTTAATCTACTGACAACTGAAACTCATTCAATATTCTGACAGTGTGTTATATTTTTAGTGTGCAACCGACCTTCGTGGAGACCCCAATGTTGCCCAATGAGACGGCATGATGTAGACCTGCGAAATGAATTGTTGTTGAGTATCTGGGTTTGTTTCCATTAGAAAGGCAGACAAATGAATCACAATAGCAGCAAAACACACACACACACACACACACACATCATACACAATGCTATGTGATTATTTTTGTGTCTAAGTTGTGTGTGTTTTGCTGTAACTGTGACTGTAGCTGTAACTGTAACTGTAACTGCTTGTAGCTGTCTTCGAACTGACATGTTTTGCGTTCAGCGTCAGTTCAGTGACTCTCCCAAGGACTTACCAGTGCCTGTGGCCGAGCCAGTGCCAGTCGTTGATGCTGTGCCACGCAGGGCGATATCCATTTTGGCCCAAAAATAAATGTTAGCAGACACACACACAAACACGCACACACACACACACACACGCACACACACTGCGAGGTACCTTTGCTCGAAATCTGCTGAGGCTATATATAAAAGTTTCGTTGTTGCTGATGTTGTTGTTGTTGCTGCTCTTGTTGTTGTTGCTGCTGTTGTTGTTGCTGTTGCTGTTGTTTCCTGTTGCTGATGTTGTTGTTGCTGCTGTTGTTGTTGTTACTCTTGTTGCTATGGTTGCTGCTGCTGTTGCTGTTGCTGCTGTCAATTGATTAAAATTTACTTTGCTTGCAATTGGAGCTGCCTCAGTTGTTGTTGTTGTTGCAGCTGTTGTTGCTGCTGCTGCTGCTGTTGTTGTTGTTGTTGTTCTTGCTGTTATTGTTGTTGCTGCTGTCAATTGTTTAAAAATAACTTTGTCCGCATTTGGCGCTGCCTCAGTTGCTGTTGTTGCTGCAACATCAACATCATCATCATGCACGATTCAATATGTATAATTAAAACTTAATTTCGACAAGTTGCCTTCGTTGTTCTTGTGCATTCGTGTGCTATTGTGTTCTGGGCGTTGCACCATCTCGTGTTCCAAGCTTTTGTTGCTTTTATTTGGTTTTTTTTTTCTTTATTATTTGTATTTTTTTGTACACCTTTCAGACGCGCTGCGTTTGTATACCCAACTCTGGACTTATGCAAGGCAACAGCAATCGATATTCGAGGGGAGAGAAAACAGCCAACGCACTGTGGAAAATCACGTTTAGATTTTTGTGTGTGCGTGTGTTTGTTTTTTTGTTTTTTTTTGGCTAAAATGTGGCAGTTAATAGTCTCAGCTAGACGGTGGCAACTCCATTTGGCTAATGCGTTTTTAATTGTCTCGTGGAAAATTAGAAAATCGTTTGGCTGTGAAAATCACTTTGGGCCTCTGCGCCAGGCGTCTGCCTCTGCCTTTGCCTTTGCGTACGCTGTGTGTGTGTGCGTTGCTGCTGCGTGTCCTGCGAGTCGAGCTGGCTCCGTGCGCCGTGGCGTTGATGCTGGAACTGATGCGGAGCACTGCCACGGAGACGCACAGCAGTCACAGGCCATCATATGGAAACGCTGCCAGGATGCTGCGAGCACGAGAACTAGAAAGAGAATGCGAGAGAGCGCGCCGAGTGCGCAACGTGAGAGCGGGCGCGCCTGGAAGGCAAAAGGCAAACACAAAACAGATGTTTACGACATTCTTTAGGCAGAGGGTCCGGGCACAAGGGCGGGCACTGTGTGGCAGCAAAAGCGCAACAATGAACGGCGACAGCTTCAAAGACGCCTGGAAGTAGGCAACAGAGCGTGTGTGTGCCTGTGCGCATGCCAACGCAGCAGCGACGCCTCTGCCGGCTACTGCTGCTGCTGCTGCTGCTGCTGCTGCTGCTGCTGCTGCTGTGTCAACAAAGCCAGCACAGACAGTTGGCCAGGACACGGGCAGGACTCATCACGGAGCAGGCTTCGGGCTACCTCCACCCACCAGGCCCCTAGCAAAATTTCGACGACAATGCGGCGTGAAGTTGACTTTGGCATGCGATTGTTTTCGCACGGCCTCTGTTCGACGCGCTGACTTCAGAACCAACCCCCGAAATCCAAAAACGGAAGTTGAACCAAACTTGAATCCCCAGCAACGAGACTGCGATGCTCTTCCATGGTGTATCTTATGTAGCTTTCGAATTTTTATTTACACCTAATGAAAAACTTTTTTGGTTTTTCAACAACTTTCGCCTTTGTCTTATAGCATTTATTTAATGTTTTTTTTTTTTACTTTTCCGAATTTCACTTAGCATGTCCTTCGTATTATCTCGCATTCCTTCAGCTATCTTTGAATTCCATGAGGTGCTTCATCCTTAAAAACTCTTCGCTGTTATTGACTTCGTGTCTTGTCATTTTCAAATTAATTTGCCAAACCTTCTAATTAAACATTAAAAAGCTTCTTTGCCGCCTAATTTGCTATGCCTACCAAGAAGCCCTTCACATAATTTGTTCTAATTAAAATAAGTACCAATCCCTGTTCTACAGGGCTTTATAGAAGTTTCTTTTCTAATTTATATTGATTATGTATGGGTATTTTCTAAAGGGAGGTTTGAAATATAGCAGAAAAAATTGTGAATTCATTTGACAGATTAAGAATCAAAGTCTTATCTCTCTATTTATAAATAGCAGATATATATCTTCTTATCCTCCCTCTGAAGCTCTGAGAATAAATTTATATATTAGGTAAATTTTCAATGATTGCGCATTTACAAATAGATTAATCCATTGATGATTTTGATTTTGATTCAATATAACATTCTTGGTATATTCGCCGAATCCCCTTACAGACTTAATAGCTTTTTATCACTTTCATCCTCCCCCTATTCTCTTCCTTTACAGGCAGTTGAATCTGCCATAACTTTGATGTCTATTATTAGACCTAAAGGCCAGTTAGCATTTTCCAATATCTTAATTGATTTTATATTAGCCTGAATTCCAATCTAACTGTCATTTCGACGCTTATCTAAAAAATCTTAATGGATCTGACAATTTACAGCTACAATCTGAACAATTAAAGGGAAATGCTCCGCATTTTGTTCGGACGTAAAATATACACAACAGTTACCGTTGGATCTGTTTGTATAGTTGGCATACACATACATGAACATGTACACACACACACACACACATGTACGTATTGTATAAATAGTTGTATAGTCGTAAGACATTTATATAGACTTTGGCTGGCGGCACAAATTGTCTTATGCATTTTAGGCTGGCTTTACGGCTTCTATGAGGAATCTGTACAGTCTCCTCCTCTCCTTTTCAGCCAGCTAACGGCGCAGATATTGCCAGGCTTAACTGTGCTTTGTGCCCAAGTCAATATCAGGCAAATATTAAGCATACGCACAGTACGCCAGCATAATGCATGAAAAATTGAGCATATCATTGACGCCGTTCTTCTTGTCTGCATTGTTGTTGTTGTTTTTGTTGTTTTTGTTGTTGTTGTTTTTGTCTGGATGCTTACTTGCTCAACTGTTTGCAGTCTAGGCACGTTCCATAATGACGCCCTGGGTTATATGTAGGTATTATAAAGCGGAAATGGAGCCTGACTCTGACTTCCCTTTGGGGTCAAAGTTTTTAATCGTCTGGCATTAGAGTTTGGTATATTTTGTGTGTGTGTGTGTGTGTGTGTGTGTGTGTGTGTGCACAAATTGACGCTTTATGTTAATGCTATTAATTAATAAATAAAATATGACATTTTCGTGGCTAAGTTTGAACCTTTCCCTGGGTTTATTAATTTTTAGCACGTAATAAATAAAAGTTTATTGCGAGCACAGCCGAAAATCCTGCGCCGAGCTTCCCAACAGTCGAACATCCTGCATCCTGTGGCTAAGCCCATGCTGTGAATTTAATTTCGACCACTCTTCGCATTTGAATGCGGATATTTTAATTTGCGTTGACATTTGGATTTGGATTCACGAGTTTCTATTTGCATTTGCAATTGCTTTATTTAACATTTATCACTAAACTACTAATGATAAAGAGTTACAAATTTAATTATTAAAGTACAAGTATTTATGCGTTGCGCAGCGCCCAAACGAGCCAAACGCCATGTTTAGTTCAAAATTTTCATAGCTAATTTATTCTTTTTTTTTGCCGTCTGGAAATTTGTTTAGCTACAATTGTACCTTAAGTTAAATAGTTGACAAATTGAAATAGTATTTTTTTTAGATTGGGGCATTGAGATATGCATGATTGGTGTGTGTATGTGTGTGCGTGTGTGTGACTAAAATAATTTATGCTTAATTTATGCAAGCTTTTCGCTGAACACAAACGGCGCAAATTTTTGTGGCACCAACAGAACACAGAAGAGAGGACACAAGAAAAGGTAAAGTCATTTCAAATTGTTTATAGTTTTGAGCGCAATTTATGGTTAATTAGGTTTTATGATTTCGCAATTTTCAGCTTTCGCCTGACATTTATTTAATAGTTAATTTGTTTTTTTTATTGCATATTTTGGCAGTTAGTCGTTGCCCAAGGCAATTTCATAATTTGTAATTCCTTATTAATGATACCCTTGCAGAGTGCGCTTAATGCTCAGCAATAAATTATCTAGCTGCATTAAATGCTGTCATTAGTATCGATTAATAAATATATAAATCTGTGATTAAAGCAACTAATATTTTATCTAACAGAGGTTCTACAATGAGAGAGCTGCATAGTGAACAAAGCGGCAACAATTTGAATAAATATTAAATACTTTGTATATTGGCGTTTCGAAAAACCTCTGCTTTTTTCCTGCAAAAATCAATAAGTTAGATTAATTGAAAGAACATTTTTCCAAGCTCTTTCATCTACATATATCTCACATAGCAGCTTTTTCATCTTTCGTAATCTAAAACCAATTAAAAATAAATCAAAATTAACGGCTTACTATCCTCTAAGAGATTTAAGGGCATGTACATTTGAGCATTATACTCTTGTGAATGGTAGTTAATATGTCTTGCTTTTCTCATATTTCAGTTAAATAAAGATTTATCTGTCTATATGCCTGATCTGGAAACATAAGCCCATATATATTACGCATTTTATCGTTCGTTACCTAGAAAATAACATTAAAGAACTCAAACTTCTGGAATTTAATCAGAAACCTGTTGACAAAGCTTTGCCAAAGATCTAATCTCTTTACTCCCAAGAGGCTTATCCAGCTAATTTGTCTGCAAGGGTATTTGATCTTCGGTAAACCGTAGATATATGAGTTCATCATGTTAAAATTGTATTTAGGCATTCATTAATTTAATGAATTTAATACTTATGTTAAATATAATTGAATTTATGCCTCGTTCATTTGTTGAATTTATAATTCAAATTTTTCTTCCTTTTTTTTCAAATATTAATTTTCGCTCCATATCGTTAATTATTTGTTTCAATATTTGCACATATGTCCCTATTAAGATTATAGAGTAATTATTATAAGTTGGCTTTTAATTTATTCCGTTCAGTATATGTATTATTGTGAAATATTTTTTGTTTGTTTGCGCATTGTACAATTGCGGTTGACTTATGCCAGAAATTGTGCTTGCAATTGCAGTTAAAAACATATGACATCATATGATCTCATTATAATAATGAATATTACATATTTTCTCAATGCGCGCTCCATTTAAAAATAAGGCTCAATCCCCACAACGAATGGTAAAATGGCAAAAAGTGTGGAATATATTTTGTAAAATTCTGTGCAATTCTGTTCACTTTCGAGTTTCTCATGCATCTTAAACGTATATGGAATATTTAATTTAAAAATAAAGTACAAGTGGAAAAATGAAAAAAAATATATATAGAAACTGTGCCGTCGGCCGTATAATTGCCGCGACTCGAGTATATATATTTCGTATTGGTATCGGTGGATAATTTGTATGTGTACGTTTTTAAAAATGGACCATTTAATATGTTTTCTCTCCACCTGCTTGGCGGTCTCTTTGTTCATTCATTTGTTAATCTTTATTATTCTTTTATTGTTGTTGTGTTTTCTTTTGTTATGAAAATATTGCCTGGTAGCAAAGTTCATTTAAATACTTTTGTTTGAGACAATGATAAAGCTTTTCGTCTGCTAACTGTGTGTGTGTGTAGGTGTGTGGGAGTGTGTGTATTATTTATAAATCTATGTTTACGTTTAGAAATCGGCGAAACCGCATAGAATAGTATTGTTTTTAATAATAGGTTTATAGATTTAGAAAATTCATCGAGTTGCGTTCATTTTGTTTTTTTGTTTCTTGCTTTTTGCTTGTGGGATTTCGGTTAATGCTTCGACTTCTTCGACTTGGACTATACGTGCTACTAACTACGACAAAAGACTAGAAAGATGTGACAATTCGGAATTCGATTCACGTAACTGGAGTACAACTACAAAATATGCTATGCGATTCTACTGCCCAAGTGGCTGCGGACACGCCCCCGCCCCCTTACACGGAGGTGGTGATTTGTTCCACAAAGTGAACGGGTCGGCACAGCGACTGCGAACGCTTAAGCCGGCACTGCGGATTGCCTCTGGCTGCCTGACAGCTGCTGCCAGCTCCGGTGCCAGCTGCGGCGCCAGCTCCTCCTCCGCCTCCGTCTCCTCCTGTTCCAGGCATGTGACGACTCTGTCGATGTGGCGTCCGCTGCAGCGAGGCGTAGGCGTGCGGCACGTAGATAAACTCACGGGAGGGCGCTGCCACGGCTGCCACGCCTGCCCCATGACGGCAGTTACACTGCTGCGACATGGTCGATAGGCCCTCCGGCACGCTGCGACTGCGTGCCGAACTGCCGCCACCATATGTGGTGGAATTGGGGCTGCAAGTGCATATGAGTGGCTGCCTGTCCTGAGATCTGGAAATAAATGCGAGCGTGAGGGGGATTGGCTCTTGAGAGGTGCTTTGGCTGGTAAATAGCGCAAGTGCAAGTGCAATGATGTTGTTGACATTTTGTTGGCGCTGACACGAAGCCGAACAACTCCCAATTGCATTTCTATGGCTTGATGGCATTAAACAAAGAGACACAGATTCGATAATTGAACGTCAGTTTCGTATGAGCTGCCGAAAACTTAATCATGTAGAAGGCATGCACTTAATTCCAATTGCATTCAAGTGCATCCATTTAACATGCTCTCCGGCTCAATCCATTCAAATGCATCTCAGGCATAATATTCAGTTGAATTAATTAACCATTTAATTGCGTGGATTGCATTTCTCAGTTAAGTGTGAACGATAGCTTCTAGAAATAACTCGCACTGCTTAACAATTTATAATTCAATTTTCTCCTCAATAAAATTTAACTTCTAAAAGGATTCACATAAGTTAACTTATTAATTGAAAGTCGTCTTAAATCGGGTTTAACTGGTTGAGGGTAGATGCTAACATGAAATGTATATTAAATCATTTCTTGAATGGTCAGTTTTAATTTATAAATAGCATATTGAAAATAAATCTTTGTGCACATTAAACGCATTGAATTGGTAACTATTTTTTAAAAGGTTGTAAAGCTCACACTAAATTTAATAAGTATGACTGTTCACGTTTGAAACCAACGCCTATCCTTAAGATACGATTTGCGAAACTGATTTTAGAAACCATTTTTTGTTGTTTTTTTTTTTTATAAGCATAATAGTATCAACATCAAACAGCTATCATAGGAAAAAATCTTTTTCTAAAAAAAAAACCAATGGACTATTATCTTTAACTAAGTAGCAAAAGATAACTGATGGAAAATATTGTTGATGTTGTAGAAGCTCAAACATTTTGTTGAAAAATAAATGAGTCTATGCTCTGCACAAAACTCACTTAGAACCAAATGGACATTTTCTTTATATACACATTCGTATAACATTCAGGTGCATGGATCTGACTTACTTGGGAGACTTGCGGCAGCCGAGCTCGTAGGTGCTGTGCCAGCTGCAGTACATCTGGCCATCGCAGCAGTTGTGCTGCTGGATGAAGGAGAGACTCCGCTGCAGGCGCTTGCCCATCTTGGCGCCAATGCTGCCCTGGCCCAGCTGGTAGGGCGTGCGGTTGGCCTGCTGCATGTCCAGATTGTGGCAGGCCAACTGCTGGGGATGTGTATGGGTATGCGTATGAGGATGGGAATGCGAATGCGTATGCTGGACAGGCGGCTGATGATGCTGCGACAGATGCGAATGCGACTGCTGATGCATGTGACGTTGACAGTAGTGGGAATTTGTGGCCTGTAAATATGGCTCCATTTGATTGAGGCTGATGCAGCTGCGGCTGAGCAGATCGGGTGCCGGATAGTCGCCATAGCCATAGTCCAAAGGCAGATTCGGGCGATGGTGTCGCGCCGACGAGTGGCGCATCAGCATGGGCGTGGGCAGATGCCCATTGAGATGTCCACGCGGCGGCTGCTGCTGCTGCTGCTGTTGCTCTTGTGGCTCGCTGATGAAGAAGATGATGATGCCCGAAATGGCGGCCGCCGCCGAGCAAATATAATAGCCGGCACGCCCATACTTCAGCGAATAATCATTAAGAAAGGAAGTGAGGGGCACGCTAATGAGCACGGGCACCGACTGGACGCCGCGTATAAAACCTGCAAAAGAGAAGTTGTACGAAAACATTAACTCCAATTAGAGTTGATTGCATGGCACATACCCCAGGCCTTGGAGAAATGCTTCAGCTTGATGCGTTCAAGCGCCAAAATCTTCAGCGAGTACTGAAAGCCGCCCAGGCCAATGCCATAGAGCCAGCTGAGTATGCACAGTCCTTTGTAGCCCATCACAAAGGATAGAAATAATATGGCCAGTGCAACAATGGATATAAACAGCTGCAAATTGAAAGAGGAATTGGTAACAGTGAGACCTAAAAGTTATGCTCGAGCTTTTGTTATCCGTCTTTGACGGAGCTGAATGATATTAAACTAAAATTTTAAAGTTTTCGCCCATTTTTCAATGCACGAAAGATGGATTTTCCGTTTGTTCCGTTTTCCGTCTCACCTGAGAAACAATCTTGGTATTGATCACAAATTGTCTGATCACAAAGCAGCGACGCAGAAGAGCGCCGGCCAGCACAACGCCCAGAGCCATGGAGATGCCCAAAAAAGTTTGCAGCAGGACCAGCTCCTGCACATCGGAGCCCTCCTTGGCAGCATTGAGGGCCTAAAATAAAGCCGTGTAATCTCCGCTATAAGCCTGAGTTAAGATCAAATAAGATTCTAATTACCATAAGGAACATGGGCGTATAGATGCCGAATGCAGCCACACTGGAGGTCATCAATAGTATCTTAACTGTCACGGATTTTAGCGATGATATGTCCAAAAATAAATATCTCGTGGGTGACTCCACCTCCTGCGTGAGTTTGGGCTTCTTCTCGCGTAGCTTATAGTCAAAACAGTTAACAATAGTTGTAGAGTTGCGAGTTCCGTGTTTGTACTCACCTTTTTGCGCTGGTTCTTCAGATGTTGGATGGCGCGACGTTGCGGATGGTAGAGGGATGCGGGTCGGTACATGAGACCCATGAAAAAGCTGAGCGCCGTTAGAGCGGCAACGATTTGCAGGCCCAGGCGCCAGCCAGCCTTGCCCACGCCCTCTTTCAGTATGACGGAGAACAAAGCGATGCCAACGCCCTCGCCGGACATGGCCACCATTTCGACGAATTGCCGCCGACGCTTAAAGTAATTGCCCAGCATCACGGTAGAAGCTTCACGCACCATGGAAACTCCGATGCCGAATACGATGCCTGCGCAGCGTGCGGAGTATAAAGCAAATCAAAATGGGAACCAACACATCCGGCACACAACTTAAGTATATTCCCCCACACAAACACACACATACACAAAAGCATATAAACTCTATACTAGATACGTACCATAACTGAAAACAACCTGACCGAATTCCGTGGCAAATGAAGTGAACAGAATGCCCAGCGGCATCACCAGGCCACCCACAATCGAGAGGAGGCGTATGGAACGCTTCCGGCACAACGACACCACAAACGGTATGGCCAGCATCGAGACGGACCAGCTCAGGGCGCCCAATAGTTCTACAAAAGAATTCATAATATTGTTTCACTTGTGTACGCAATGCAGAAATATTCATTGGAAATGTTATTTAAGCTAATTACGTACATTAAATAATTCCTAAGAAAATGCAGATATATATATATTATAAAATTCATGAATTTCATATATTACATGGATCCAATATGGACAAATATTATATGTAAATATATAAAGTCATTCAAAGATATATATATATTAATTAAGAAAAATATACTAACATTTTAATAAATTTAAAAGAAAAATATATTGTTTAGGCAAATATTTTTAAAGTATTGCAAAAAAAAAAAGTAAAAAAGAAAAACTTCTCAGTCTCTTAAGAATTTCCAGGAAAATTTAGTTACGCATGAAATATCTAGGATAAAATAATGATAAATAAGCTCAAAGTGCCTTTGGTATGCTCAACATTCCGTCTATTAATTCTATTAGTATCCAAATTCGAATTTCTTTCTTTAGCGTGGATTAATTTAATATCATCGTATGCAAGTTTTCTTTGTGTAAATCCTTAAACGTTACGTAAAAGAGAATATTTACCTTTAAATGAGGTTTAAGTTTAAACGAATGAAATGAAAATTCTACATATACATGCAATTTCTAATAAAATTGAATATACCCCCTGTTTTGATTTTTTTTTTTTTTCTGCCCATCAATAAAAATGCTTGTTACATACACAACAAGTATTTGAACAATGCCGAATATTTGCCAGACAGTCTGAACGTAATTTAGCTTTCGGAGTTAATAAACTCAACTTACCGATGCCGCTTGTGTTATGCAAATGCTGAACGGCATAGAACAACAGCAGGCCATAGCTGAGCTGGAGGCCAGTGGTTAGGATGTGGACCAGGAAGGAGACGCCACAGATGATCCAGCCCCAGCCGCCATCCGGATAAAAGTACTAAATATATACAAATGGCAGACAACAGTAAATTATGCAATTAAAGTTGTAAATGCACTGGACCTACCTGTCGTATGCGTGTTGTGTCCACACCGGTGCGACGCAGTGCCGGAATATTGCGATGCAACAGATGAAACTCACGATCGGCGAGTGCTGGAAAGGCCGAGTCCTCTTCATCGGTTATATGGCTAGGGTGGTGTGCAGCAGCATCAAAGCCTGCGAGACGAACAATTGAAAGTTGATTAAATGGAAAACAGGACACAAGGCCGCAGGACCAAAGCTCATTACTCACCCAAATAGCAGCCGCCATTGGGCAAAAGTGGCTTGGGCGGCGGCGGGATGCTCCTGTGCTGCTGCTGCTGCTGCTGCTGCTGCTGGTGTTGCTGCTGGTGTTGCTGCTGGTGATACCAATTATCGCAAACGCAGAGCTGCGGGCCGTAGTGGGGCATGGGATTGTACATGTAACAACAGGCATTCAAATTGGGATTGGCATTGCTCGGCGCATACCAACGAGCAGGCTCATGATGCGGCGGTGGCATTGAAGCCGCGCAATGTCGACTGTAGCCTGTGGCTGCATTTGCATAGAGCTGCTGCTGCTGCTGCTGCTGCTCGATGGTGGGCAATGTGGCATAGCTGCCAAAATTGTCACAATGCCGCTTGGCATTGGCTTGTAGTGGAAAGCGCGCCGGATTTGTGCCATGGCAGTGATGTGGCTGCAGCAACGGCGGCGGTGGTGGCGGCTGCATTGCTGGCGTTGGCATTTGAGGCTGTTCAGTGGGCAGATTGGAGAGACGCGGACATGAGACCCACCAGGCCAGCGGCTGGTTGTTAAAGCGGCACTCGGTGCACAAATAACGCGGCGTACTCAGTGTGGCAGCTGCCTCCTGCCTCGGCTTGGGGCTAGCTGCTGTTGCAGCTGTTGTTGCTGCTGCTGCTGCTGCTGTTGTCTTGTTGTGGGCTTGTTGCGGATACGAATGTAGTTGCGGTTGTTGTTGTTGTGGTTCTGGATGCTCACAGCTTAGGTTGTATCTTCGTCACAGTGCACATTTGTTGCACAGCACGGAGCTTCTGTGCTTGCTGCGCACCAGACTCGAATATGGCCTCAGCTCCTGCTGCTCCTGCTGCTGCTCCAGGCTGCGACTCTGACTCTGACTCTGACTCGGACCGTGGCAAGGCTGGCCAACGGGCAGCAACTGTGGGCAGCTGCCGTATAGCGCTGATGAGGTATTCGATAGACGCCGATAGTATGGAAACCGATGCTCCATATCATTGCCAGCATCAAGGGGCGTGGCACTTTGTTGTCGTTGCTGTCGCAGCGTTAAGCGTGGCAAACAGAAGCTGCGGTTGTCTCTGTCACTGCAATCGCAATCGCATGTGCACTGGATGACCATTGTACAGAACGCACAGCCGCTGTATACTATATGTACAGTGTAGTGTTGTGTTAGGCAGTGTTGTGTAATGCTGTGTGCGTCTGTCTGTCCACTTCAATATTGGCAGCGCATAATGCTCGTCGCTGAGGTTTCTAGGCCAGCGCCATCCAACTATATCCAGTTCGGGTGGCCATCTCCGATATATTGGTCCACATCAGTGGGTCAAAAATGTTGCGTGTGTGTGTGTGTGTGAGAGAGATTTTTTCAGCTTCTGTTTCTGTTTTTGGCACTGCAAAAATTGGGAACGTGCACACACTGCACCAATAAATAAATAAATCAAAATCAATTTGTTTACTTCACGCACACACACCCATTCAGGTGACTAAACAAGCACACACAGCACACACAACATACACACAGAACACATATTTCATATGCATAATTTAATTTGCTGTTTAATTGCGTGAATATGCCATTTGCCTGCGAGCAATGCGCAACTTCAAAAAAGATAAATTACAATGGCGGTCACAGTTTGAGAGCCATTGGCTTAGATGGCTTAAAAGCATTCGGTTGGTGGTTTGCGATTTAAGCACTCTCATATGCATTTGGTCAAATCAAATTGTTCGAATCCCGCTCTGAAGCATGCAATTTAATTTCGAGTATTTGTTGAACAAAATTCCACTCTTTGACAACAATTTATTCATACATATTGCAAATAGAAAATTTTAAGCAAAACAATTAGCTCGAGATTTCGATTTGGGCACAGCCCCAAAAGTGCTGCATACCTTAAGGCGTTTTTCCCTGTAGAATATATTCAATATATAATATTTTATTTAATTGTGCTTTTGTTTTGTTTCATTATTATTATTATCTGTTGCAAAATTTTGAATTGTCAAATTACGAGAATATTGTTTATGGCGTCGACTGAAACCCTTTTGTTTTTTAGTGCTCGCATTACATGAAAATCAAACATAAATTACAATTTACAACCATTGAAGGCATAAAAAGTCGCATCTGAGAACTCAAGTGCTTTACCTAGCGATTACAGTTGACTAATATCCGACTGTAAGTAGCTAAATTAATAAGCTGGTGTTAAATTAAACAAACAATATGAGGTTCACTCGCCTGGTAAAACGATACTCATTCATCTGGGCTGAGCTGAGGAATCAATCATCACTTATCGGTAATCACGAGCGCACACAAGAAGGAGTCCAACTAACTGGTTGAAGTATTTATAGCCCGAGTGCGTCACATAGCTAACTGGGCTAAAATAAGATAACTGGCAGGCGAGGCACATCATTCAATTTGCACAATAACCGCTTGGGAATTAGAAATGAAAACTGAATTATCGCCTGTGGCTGCCAGAGAGTGGCTGATGAACTGAGTAACGAAGGACATGCCAAAAATGAATTCAATTAGGCTATCTGCAAATAGTTAACCGAATTAAAACTGCGGCGCAAACAAACAAGTTGCAAAACGAATTTGCTGGCACTCGCAGGAGTGAGGATTAAACCATTATTCGAGCGAGCTCTGACTTTGAGAAATTGACCAACTGATTGTTGTGGACAGTTTGGCACTTTTGTTACTAAAGTTTTTGTTCGCATTTATAGAAATTTGCCAACAACAAAAAAATGCCCGACTTTAAATATGAATGTAGGTCACAAATCAATTTTACACAATTGTGCACTTAAAAAAAATGAATATTATGTATATTTAATGAAGGAAATGCAGGTTTTGTGATCCAAATAAAAAAAGATAATTCATTCAATAACAAAATAGTACAACTAATAGATATATATTATCTATATGGGGGAAAAAGTTTTACTAAGGAAAATATTTAATTCAAAGAGACAGCAGAAAAATTATAAGTAATTATATTTTGTTTTCTACATTATATTTCTACTTGTTTAAGTTCTTGGAATATCCACTTTGATTGCATTTTTCCGCAACCATATGCAAAATTTATTCCTTATCATCCAGATGAATTTGTTGGTTCAAGGTCTGGAAGATATCAATTTTTTCAAGTGTAAGTTTTTTATATTAAACACATAAAAAAGTAGATTTAAATTGAAATTTTCAGCAATCTCCGATAATGCTTCTCTTAAGTCGTTCCCAGTTTTATTTTTTCAGGTTGTCTTGTCACATGATTGATTTGTGTTGTTGTCGTCGTTGTTATTTATGAAATGAGAAGGTCTTGCACAGTAGCTGTCTTGATAGCATTGGGGACGATTTGAAGGCATCGATTAGTCCAGTGTCCATGGAACAGGCTATAAAGATGATAAATGATTTGGTTTGTTCAGCTGTAAGGAAAAACTTGCAACATTTTGCATCGGACCCGGTTGGCATGTGCAACACCTACCAAAGCAAACAGCATCAATTGCAAGGGCTTCATCCTGGCTGCCCTACTATTCCATTTTTATGGTTTCACATAACGATTTTGGCCGACAACAGCAAGAGAGGAACTTTTTACAATGCACAACGGCGCATTTAAATTGATTGTAAGCAAGCGGGAAGCAAAACAGGAAGCATCCAACGAACAGCCAACATCAATCAAAACGCATTGTGCCCCGGCGCCCACGTTAAGCATCCATCGGGGAGCTGCACAACACGCAGCCAGCTTAAAAATGAGGCAACATCCAAATCCACCAAGCCCCAGTACCCACCCACTCACTACCTGTAGCAACATAAAATTTAAGCATAGCAGAAGAAACAGCAGCCGCAGCAGGAGCAGGAGTAGCAGCAGGAGCAGTAGCAGATGTTGGAGCAGCAGTAACACCTACTACCAATACGTGAGGACATCCTCGTCTAGTCGAAGCGCTTCCTTTCCAGTAAATGTATGAGCAAACACAAAAGAATGTCAAAGTCGCATGACTACGAAATACCTGTACAAACATCTTAAGCACAAGCTAAGGATGTGCTCGTGACACGAAAAGTACAAGTTTCAATTTTCTATTATTGCCAATCATTGCGAAATCAAAGTTCTTTACAATAATACAAACGCCAGGCTGATCAAGAAAAGTCACGATTAAAGTGGAAAAAAACGATGATATCCAGCAATAGCATTAGCAATTCTAGAGATTTTAGGCTCAATTTTCTTTGTTAAATCTTTGAAATATGTTCATTTTAATCTCAGAACATTTCTGTGAAATTTCTTCAAAACTCTTATTCATTAAATGGGATGTCAGACATACATGTAAAGTCTTAGGAATTTATATCAAATATATTACGTATGCCATTTAGGCTGGCTTTCAGTTATAACATAATAATTTACAAATATTTAAATCCTGCATGGATCTCAGCACAGAGATTCACTCCTGGCAGTGCTAAGTCCTTAAGAGAGCATCTCACTTCAAATAATGCAGTTTCTGCTAAGCTCAAAATACACAGACTAAACATATCATATCTAAGATTATACCCCATAGCAAACGCTTGGTGCAGGTATAAAAATATTTTACGAAAATATATATATATATATATATTTTTATTTGTTACCAGTCGAGTGTAAAATGTTGCACGAGCTCGAGGATGCCTTTGGGTTTGCTCTGCGTAGATGCCACAACTGGCCGCAGGCAGCGCTTAATGTCAGCCGCACATTTCAATAATATCCTAGATATCCTTGTGCCCTACCATAGTACATATATGCATATATATTTATATATGTGTATTATTATTATTATTTCCTTCGTTTTTAGCTTTTATTTAGTCGTGCAGGTCAGGGCTTTATGTCCTTTTAAAATGTTATATTAAAATGTAAGCGTTGTGCAAATTCAAATAACTCACAATGTTGATAATCTGAACATTCAAAGTTTATGGGCGCGCCCACGCATACGCCCCGTCGGCCAGACCAGGTTCATGTGCTGACTTAACTGGTCATTGACTTTTCCAACTTTATGATGCACTAAAATTAAATATACAACGTTCCATATAAATATCGTGCATCGTGTCTCTGTGCATGTGTATGTAAAAAAAAAAGGACAACTTTTATATGCCGCAGCGCAAAAGGAGCAGACGGCAGCCTGTTTGCAGTTCCAGGCGGCAGCTACCAAGCGGCAGCAAGGCGCAAAATGTTGGTCCTTTTCGGTGGGAGGTGTCGCTGAGCCTGGTCAGTTCACTGGTTTACTCTGCTGATTAAACATATTGCGGCAGCGACGATGTCCCCACCACCCAAAAAAAAAAGCTAAGTTATTTGGCCAAGCTTACTCGACTTGAAGATACCCACAATATGTTTGGACTAATCTAGACCATATACGTTTGTATATGTTGCCAACTATTTTCTATTATAAGCAATTCTTAAAAAACAAAGATAATTTTTATCAAAACTCAATGCTTTTTCATAAGAAAATATTTGTAAGATCTCTCTAACGACTTTGTATACAATATTATTAAGATTTGGATGTTTTTAAGGGATATATCCAATCCTCTTATGTATCACAGTACAAATGTGTAGCTTGTTTACGACACGCCATTTTTAAAGCTTACAGGGTATTCCATAAAGGGAAAAAATTCAAACAACTTTAAGCCACAAAATTCACACCGAGAAGTTTTTGAGTTGTTTTTGCTATGGGGCTGACGTCGCTTTTTTCACGCCTGTTGGGTGAACGTCGCAGCAGACTTTGGTCCCTAGTCCCTAGCCGAAAGATAATGGATATCATGTTGCCGCTGGGTTTACATTTTAGTTTTGCACTTTTCGTTGTAATAAACACATGACAATATGAGAGGCTCCTGGCGCTGCATGCACCCTTCAAGGAAATAGCGAAACAAAAAAGGAAATAGTGTTGCAATCGTTCCAAAAATCAAATTCTCTTCAAAAATTATTTAGGTTTAATTTCATTTTTTGAAAATTTTTTCTATATCTATACTGTAACATGATTTAATTAATATAAACTATATTCAATAAATTGAAATATTGATATATGTCTTTTAGCTGGTTTTCGCATTTTATTCTCCATACACCCTGAGGAACTTGATACTTGCAATAATTTAAAGTCTTTTTTTTTCAATATGAATTTGGCTGAAGAAACTTCAATTTAATTTCGGTCAGCACTTTCCAAATTGTGGTGAATGCGTTTTGAAGAACGCAAAGACTCTTCTATAAGCAAACTTTTTATTTCGCTGACTGCTGAAAGGGTTCCAAATTTTGATGTCCTTTTGTGTTTATGCGAGTGGGTTTGTGTCCGTGTTTGTGTTTGTGTTTGTGCATGCATGTGTATGTAAAATTTTCGCACTCCCTTGGGAAAAATAATTCGAATACTGCTGCCTGCTGGCAACTGGAAAATATTAATACTTTTTCATTTACTTGGGGCAACGGACGACTT